GGGGCGGGGCTGCCGGCCCCAGGTGTGCGCGTGCTGCCGGCCCGTGCCCCCAGGGAGGCCCCACCGGCTTTTGTTAGCCTAAAAACACACAGCTCCTGCGTTAAAGCTACTGAGCGTCTTATTTCTGTATTAGAGGGATTCTTTTTAAGTTACTAAGACTACCATGCACTCTTACAAAACATTACCTTATTTTATTCGTGTCTTAAACGGCTAAAGATCAACCCATGGTAAACAGATTGTCTATATTCTTTTCCTTCTAATTACAACTCTCATACAAGTTGGAAATACACTTGCGATGCTGTTGTACCATGACAGGCATTTAGGACGTTGGTCTCACCTCCATGTTTGATTAATTAGTTGCCTCCCGACTAAAGGTTTGGTGGTGGGGCTAGGGCGAGGAGTCAGCAGATCTGCTGGTCATCAGGCTGAAGGTTCAGCCGCAGAAGTGCTTGCAAGAGCCCCAGGCCAGAACTAATTACTATTTAAAGGCTCATTTACTAGAATGATCTGATCACGAAGGAAATGCTGCTCTTTTGCAGAAGGAAGGGAGTAAATGCTTCCACCTACAGCACTATCTGGAGTCGGACTGTAGGTGCAGCCCATAATTCACCCGCAGACCATACGCACTTGTTCTGAGGGGCTGACAGGGAAGTGTAGCATTACATTTATTGAAAGCATTGATTCACACATTATTAGGAACACAGTACCACTTTAAGAAAGGTTATCAGAAATATGAATATATTAAGTAACATCAGACGTAAACCAACCATCTGGTCCACTTCGCCTGTACATGCTAAATGTGTTGTTTTTTCTGGATCTGTCCATACCGCACAGGTATGGTTAGTAGCCCTCGTTCTGCTGGCAGAGTATTCTACACAGATTGACCTGTCCCAGCACTGGTTTCCAAGAACAGAGATCATAATGTAGTTCAAAAGAAGAAAAAAAGAGGAAGAAAAAAAGGCATGTGAACCTACCATCCTAAGACTGTTTGAGTCTGGCAAGCTAAGCTGGAAGCTGGTTTTATCCTTATGGCCAAAAGCAGAATACAATGGAAGCCTCCCCCAAGAAGAGAGAATTTATAGCTTTTATTAGGTCTTACAGATAACCGTAGTATGCTTTATCAGTAGTCACTGTATGGACCAAAAGAGATATACAATTAATGTGGACATACTATATTACTAAACTAGTATTACCACAAAAATGAAAAAGACTTCTCCAGACCAGAAGACTGCTTATATCTGGCTAATCTCAAGAGGTGTTTTTAATTGTTTACAAATAGTCTCATTATCATGTATCCTGCAGTTCTAGAGCTGAGGCACTACAGCACAGGCATCAAAAATCTCACCCAAACTCCCGGTTTTATTTATGCTATGACTAAAATTTTTAAAAAATCATTTCCACGCAACTTCAGTCTCAAATCCCTTAAGTCTCTTAAATTTGTCTTAAATCTCTGGATATCAAAAACCTCTAACATACTTGCTCCTGAGGATAATTAGCCCCCAAATTATTTAAGTATACCTGAAATATATTGATAATTTACAAACACGTTTCAGGGTTATATGATTGGTGAGTAAACAAGTCTTTGGTAAATAACTACTACTCTGTTCTTTACTCAGTTAAAAAACTTAGTTTATTTTTAAATCTAGATTAACTGATTTTTTAAATAATTATTTCTATAATGAATAAGGCTCATACAGCACAATGCTGAGTGGCATGAATGGGTGTATGTAGCAAAACCTGAATGATGATTTCAGGTTACAAGTCCTGTTAATAGTAGGTTCCTGCTCTGGCTCATTTTCTTTTTGTGCCCTTCAGCCAGGCCCAGGAAGCTGAATCTGAATGAGAGCTTTCTAATGAATTAGATTTCCAAATTTAAAGGTGTCAGCAATCTAGAAAATACTGTCCATTGCAAGGATACATTCTACAGTAGGTACTGGATTGTATGCTAAAAACTACAACAAACCAATTAGTTTTAGGTGCAGTATTTCCTAAAAATGTCTGCTTTACCACTTGTGCAGTGAAACAGAAAAACTATGCACTACGCATGCTTGTGCAACTTGGAGATGACTGCTTGCTCCCAAAGGAAACCTAAAGGCACAGGACATAGGTAATGGGAATGAAAATCTGGTAACAAACATTGGCTTCTGTTTTATTACAAGAATCCAATCAGAAACTGAATGCCTAAACTGATATTTTTACTATTTGCATACTAGATGCCTTCACTTTGGCTAAAAGATACTATACCATGTCCTTTAAGAAAAATAGCAGCATTAAATCGATCTTGTAATTTCAGAGGAGAAATAAAAAGATGTCTGCTTTAGGTTTGGCTTACAGAGTTTTGGGGATTATTTTAAACATGTCCAAGAAATGATCAGATTATTTTCGATGACTGTTGCAATTTTACTGTTCTACTACAGTTTTTTAATCATCCTCCTTGTTAAAGGATCAATTACATTTGAGACAATAAATAGTATACTTTACAATAAATAATATTCAAGTCCAAGTATTGTAATTACAAAATAATATAACACTGTAATAGGATCTTCAAGATCAATTCCATTTTATATATTCTGCAGCAAAAATAACATTTCTAGTAGGAAGGAATTACTTATAAACCTAGCAAGATCTACACATTCACATGTATGTGTAAACAACTTAACAAGGTTTATTATGTTTCCAGAAAAGCTATGCTTTTACAGTAGGTTTTCAGCTAAATGTTATCATAATATGGTAGTAAATATATAACAGTGTTTATATTTAACTCCATCACAAATTTTAATTTGAAAAAAAATGGAGTGCCATTATTTACAAAGAACAGCAACTTTCCTTTTGCTTCACAAGTGACTGTATCTGTGTGTGAACAAAACGTTAGGGCGAGGCATTCCAGATGAACTGCAGCTAAGGTTGGACGAGGATGATTTCATGATGAACAGTGAAGGTCCTGGCAATAAATACCTAGAAAGGATATGAAAAATATAGCAGAGTTTACAGGCAAAGTGACATTCAAGAGCAATTGTGGGGCATAATGGGCAAGCGCATTTATTTCCATACGTATCTTTCATTTCACAAATTCAGAATATCATGGTTAGCTAGCATATTGCTGTCTCCACAGTATAGATGTAACATTTGTGGAGATTAATATAAAAACTGTAACTTTAATCAATCAGAGTTGTCATGACACTCCGTTGCTGAAGACATACTGATATTTAGGATACAGGGGGCTTAGATTCCTCCAGCCTGTGAAATTCATGAATAAACTTCCATTCAGCATCCAAAGAAACACAGAAACTGGAGATGAGAAAGTTCTATTGGACCATCCCTTTCACTGCTTTCTAAATGCAAGCCTGTTAGCTGCAGTACATTAGAGTAATCCGAGTTTGAATAGTTTGTGGTTGGTCATGATGAAAAATTTTCTGCAGTATTAACAGTAAAAGCAATAAAAACTTCAAGGTTGAAGATTTTCTAGTCCCAGCTAATCCAGATATCTTTACCATACTCCTGCTATAGCTCAGTAGATGTTAATATTGAATATGATTTGTTTTGCGGCTAACATACTTCTACTTTTGCTGTGACCAAACAAACTCAGTTTCTGGTTGGTTTTAAATTATGTTCGAGGCCTTAAGATCCATACGACGATAACAAATGGGTTTAGTGTATCAAATAACTAGTCTCAGATACAGCAAGTAAGCAATTAAGTCATAAAGTAAGTTTAACAGATAATATATCAAAGGTTTGCTTTTCATGTAATATTTAACTCATAAAGCCCTTCTATGAAATAATGTCTGTAAGATGTTTTATATAAACAAAGCATTTGTAAGTTTATATACGTAATAATTCAAATTGCCATTATGGATAGAATTTGGAACCTAAGTAATTTGAAACTTACACTTAACTCTCCACCTACGACTGTTAAATTGCAGATCGTTGACTCCCACAGTTGGAGCATTTTCAGTAATCCCTATGCTGACAATATTATAATCCCTCTTGTATCTGGTTGGAGAACTAAACCAGCCAATGGAGAATCAGGTAAGTGCCAAATAATTTTTTTACTATATGATGCTGTTTTGCAAGGTTTGAAAATATATTTATGCTCTGTATGATGAAATAATAAAACTTTCAATCTGTAGGTTTTGGAAATCAACGTTGCAAAACTGTGCAATACAGTAAATCAGATGGCACTTACCTGACCCTTGGCTGGAGCTCTGCCCCTACAGCATCCCACTGCGAATGTGACGCCAAAATTATCATACATGTTAGGATACCTCTAGGAATGCAAATCTGGAATCAGTGACTTGGAGGGATCTGAGAAGGGGAAGAAAGGAGATTTTCAGTTCACTTTATGGAAAGCCTTTGCTGTAGCTGCTTGGGCAGTAGGCAACCAAGACTTTAATAAGTGTAGTTTCACACAAAATGTGTACATCCATTCTTCTTTTAGTAGCACTTCATGAGTGGGCTAGAGAGATTAGAACAATAGAAACTCAGGATCAAGGGAAGTGCTGGGACTTTTGTCTTTTGTTTTTGTTTAAATACATAGCGAACTAGGCTTAAAGAGAAGCATAGTGGTAGCAACATAGACTGAAACCTGTTCCAATATTATCCTTTATACTTTTAATTTAGGAAGAGAATATTGAAATGTATACCTTGTATCATCCCAGTGGGGGCTAATCCCAGTTGGAGAGCCTCTTGAATCTGATGAATATTTGTAAACCACCAGCAGGCAGTGTTTACAAAGCTGTACTATTCGTTGGCAACACTGGAGTTGCTCAGGAGTCACCACCTCTGTGCTTTTACTGAATATGGTTTCCCAAGAGCTCCTGTTATGAAAAAAGACACGACTTCACATTTTCTGTCACAAATTGCAATCTGAGAGCTTTACTGCTTTATATCAGATTTAACAATAGAGGAACACAAGAAAAAGCATGACCTTGCCTGTTTACAGGAAAGGTCTATACTATTTAACACAAATGCTGGCAGATGCTGAGTCCAAAACTCAAATTAAGAAGTTAATCTTAATATGTGAAATGTCCACAGCCGTTTTTCACTTGGTTTGTTCCCTAAAGCATTTATAGGGCCATTACTTAGGTTTAGCACATAAATATTTACTGTCACATAATTGTATATGTGTCTTACAATAGGAATAACAAAAACACTTACTATTTTTAACACGTGAATGTGATGTGATATTAAAGGAATTAATAAAAATAAGTTATTTCTAAATGTCTACACAGCATAGTAATACTCTTCTTCTAATTTAAGTACATGATACTAAGAAACAAACATGAAATTAATTTTCAGGAGATTAGTATGTGCTCTGCTTCCTTATCCAAATAATCATATGAGGAGAGTTTTTCAGTTTAGTCATTCAATTACTACTTATTATTCCATCTGGTCATATGGGGTTGGTCTTCTACAATTAAGTGCAACTTGCAAAGTGTATCTATAGAAGCATTCCTTTCTGAAATGCAGACCATTATACTTTTGTTTTCTTAAAAAGCCATTTCTCTTTCCAAAAAAACCAAACCCTACCATACCAATGTAACCAGGTTATGTTTTACCACAGAACACGACAATAGTTCTTTGCATACACCTCAACACTTCTGTTTGTGCAAAATTCTGACCAGATTACAGATTATTACATCTGTTTTAAAGGCAACATGGTCCCTGTGAAGACCTTTTTTTTAGTCAAAACATTATCCAGTAGCACAGATGGTTTGTAAGCTTGAGGTTTTTTGTTTGTTCATGAAAGAAACACTTCATAGAGTGAGGAAAATTTGCTGTATCTGGCTTCAGCATAACATCCAGGATGATTTAGCCTTGTCCACCGAGAGCAGGAGCAGCAGTAGATTTCACATCCCTGGTGTAGGAACTTTGACCTTAAAACAACATCAAAGAACGAGCAAGCTTACTTCTGCCTAGTGAGATTTTTAAAATTAGGATGGAATTATGAATATTAATGACTAAAAAATAAGCTGTATGTATAGCTAACTGACTTTTCAGCCTGGGTCCTCAGTCTAGATAATATGTTCCAGCTGAAAGTGTTCAGTCCTACAGAATTTCCACTGCACACATAATATTCAAGTGATGCAAGCATTTCTCTTTAATTATTATCCATATAATGAATTGTTTCGGAAATATTGTTTATAAGGCATCAAATTCTACTACTTGAAGAGCTACTATTTTCTTTAATATATTTTTCTCAATATTGTTTCCTGTCTGGGAACTTTCCACATGTATTTTTAGAGGGAAATTAATCTATTGTCTTCTTTCTTTCTTCATGAAGTCATGTGATGGTTGGTAGAAAGCAGCAAGATGAAGTTCTAAGTGTTACATTCGTTCAACAGAGTCTCAGTGCTACACATAATTATATTCTAATTCAACCCAAAAATCTCAAAAATCTTGTGGAAGAAACCCTGATGAATTCCTTAAGTTCTGGGCTTTGAGGTCCATGATCACTTTCCTACAGTTATGAGGGATTTTATCAGTGAAGAATAATATGTGGCCTGCTATAACTCTGGCTAATTATGAACATAATGGTATACAGTAATAACAAAGATTGAGATTTGGAAATATATATGTGAATTTTAATGAGCTTTCATATAAATGTGCCTGTGCAACCTCCTCCATGTGCTACAGATTCAGTTCATACTCCATGATACTGCAGTCAACAGGGATCAGAGTACTGTTACCTAAGGAAGCTTAATTTGTTATGCTGTAACTTTAGTTTCCACACATGAATAAGAAATCATAGAGTCCTCACCAGATCCAGAAAAGAGTATTATACTTGATTGTGCAATATTGTCAATTATGTGTTATTCTTTTTATAACCATCTGAAGTCAACTGGTTCTACCAGTTTTCTGTTATTAATTTTAATTTTTTATTATACAGTAAAACAAATGTAGCTTTATGAAATGATCTACATTGCAGTTACTTCACTGAGGTTTTCTTTGTTTCTTTGTTCATTCTTTTTGCTAAAATAGCATATGCCTAGCAGAGATCTAACCAGCAAGAGGAAACCTTAAGGCTATTAGCTCTGTTCTTCTCCCAAGACATGTATCTTAGGAATAGTCAAAGTACTATACTCAGTATATTTTCATACACTCATGTTGTTTCTGAATTAGCACATTAATACCCCTTCCCAACATGTTTCCCCAAATTCTACACATGCCCTATGTTTATTCCAATCTGTTCTTTAAAATGGCACAATGAACTCTGAGGAAGAGTGATGAGAAGTTGGCCTCTCTGCTACAGAGGTGCTGTCATAACTTGTCTGTTGTGTATTACATGGCAAGAAGGATGGTTGTAACTGAATAAACAACATGCTGGGAAGGTACAAACAGCCTTTCTGATTTCTTCTGTGGATTCTGTATTAAGTACATTACATGCAGAGTGATCTCTACACATACTGGATATTTGTGTATTACTTTTACAGTATTTTTAGAATCTTTTACATAGCAACTCCTCTTACAAGGAATTGGATCTTTGTCAAAGAATTTAGCTCCACTTTGGAGTCAGTGGAGTCTTGTTCTGCATGAATGAACCTATTGCTAGATGAGAAATCCTACTCTTCATTGAACCCTTCTGCTGGCTCAAAGACTCTTCTCCCGAGCCAAGTGAGCAGCAGAGTTGTTCAAAGGTTTTGAACAAAAACCATTCTTCGTAGAGAAAAAAAATCCAAAATGGAAATTTTCATGCATATTAGAAGATTTGCACACTAAAAGTAAAATTCAAAATAATAACAGCATTATTAAAAGGGAAGGTAATTATTATATTTTATGACAACACAAATTGAGCTTGGACTCAAAAGACTTCACACACCTCTGCTGGCACGAAGACGGGACCCTGCAGCTGCTGAGGATTATACAAAAAAAATGTTTCAGATTGGAAACTCAGAAACCTTTTCCCACCCTGCTTTTAACTTTTGGAGTGTGCTGCATTCCCAATACCTACCTTTAATAAATCTTCAGGCTGCCATCTGCATGTTCCCACGGCCAGTCTCAGTGAAAAAAAAAGTGAAGACTCCTAACGGCTTGCACAACAACAACAAGCCTTCATCAATGAGAAGATAATGGTAAAAATGCCCAAAAAACTGATGACCTTTTGGATACTCTCAGATCCCTCTTCTTCTTGTTATCCATTTTGTTGGGAAACAATTAACAAGTGCATTACATGCATACCATGATATGACAAATGACTATATGTGAAGAACATACTGACCTGATTCCTTTGTACACACAATATCCATCAGCGTACTATGTGTGTTTTTTGTAGTTTCTTTTCAATAAATCTCTTGGAACACCTTACACAAGCTAATCAAAACCCCTCCCATTCTTTATACGTTGTACATACTTACAGGGAAAACGTCTTCGTGTATGCAATATATTTCATATTTACACATCTGTATTCTTATTTTATGAAGAAATTTGGTGGGTGGGAGCGGGGGAGAGGGAGATTATTTTATACCTATGATCTGATCCTCCAAACCTATCCTTACATGAATGCTTTTGATTTCAGGAACGTAGATTTTGAAGTGTAGGATATTGAACTTTTAATATATGGCCCGATCTTTTTTTCCCCCCATAGAAAACTTGTAATTTCTACCCAAAGCAAAAAAATCTGCTTACCTCAGTGTGGACATTTCCTATTCTGCATATACTTAAATTCCCAGCAGTGTGGGAAACAGTGAATGTAATCAAACACAGAAATTTGAAGTCATTATTTGTAAATCACAGAACTGACACTGCATTTGGCATGAGATGTCAGCTGCACTTGTGACTGAATTCTTCCCTTGTAAGTCTTGAGCTCAAATAGATATGACAATGATTTCTGTTGATAGTAAGTCCACATTTGACACTTACAGTGTTTTTACAGTGTTTTGGCCTCAAAATTGTGCACCATCCAATGAAAGAGTTGACCTAAAGCTCAGATATTTTGAAAATTGGATTTTTTCCTTAGATTATTATCTTTGTAAATACATTACTAAATGTATGATTCCATTACTGAAATGGTTGGCCTAGATTATTAGATTTCTAATTATACTATATCTTTAGATGGTTTTAAAACAAGTTCAATGTATTACAGCATTCTCTCGAATGAAAATGAGAAACAAAGTATGCCAGCATTGATTGTAATCGTGAAGTCATGAAGAAGACTTAGATAAGAAAAACAGGCTTACCCTGAATTACAGAAACAGTTCCATAGACCTTGACCATGACTCCAAAGCAAGCGATTAAATACACGGTTAAAGAGACGGTACAGATGTAAATTTTCAATGTCTGGAGCCTTCCAGACTCGCTGTAGAACTGCACGAACACTTGTCTTGACTATATCCAAAACCTAGGAAAGAGTATTCCAAGCAAATCAAAGCAAAGGCATATTGCAAAACCTAAAACCAACTGTTTGCTGATTCACACACACACACACACACACAGAGATGACTGCATAGCTATAAATTCCCAGGGATATCTATGTTTCATTTCTGTGCGTTCATCAGCAAACTTTTATGATATGCTGCTTCTGTCAATAACATTTTGCAAAACCAAATCAAAATATTTTATTTTTATTACAGAAAAGTTCATTTTTACTTTTGTCAGTCTGTTCGATACTAGGTCGTTTAAATGACAAAAAGAGTTTAAAAAGAAACAAAATGGACACAATTACAGACTAGAGGCAGCATAATTAACAACCCAAATAATATATACTTGAAGATTATCTCTTCCTTTCCCCCTCCCTTTAAAATACCTATTTTAAAATATCTATTTTATAAAGAAGTAAAATGTCCCAAAAAGCTACAAGCTACTTTTGGTTTAATGTCTGTTGAATCTCAGTTTACCCTAGGTCAAACCATTTTAGTTTACCTTTCATGCAGGAAACAGTGTAGTGAAATCAATAAGTAAGAAAATAACCAGCAAGATACTTAAAATAGCAACGTTTATAGAAATGCAATGGTTTTATTATATACAGACTACATTTAAATGCAAGTGTGTAAAGATGTGGGTGAACAAAATGCTAAGCTGCATTCAGTATAGCACTGAGAGTTTTACCCAGTAAGTCTTAGCTACTCAGTGCACACACACACTTACAGGCAGTCATACATCCAACTCATCAGAGTCCTCTTTGATGCGCCTTTGCACATCCCACTGAATTGGGAAATGGAAGGTAGGATTCATCTTGCCTGCTTTTAAACATCTGTACGATCTCTTAAGTCAGGCCTCTAGGTTCCCTCCATAATCACTGAAGAGAAGCAGGCGCCAGAATGCCCTGGCTTCTGTCTATTTAGGTACTTTCAGTACAACTGGGAATAGTTTTGTGACTGAAGTGGTATTTAGGCACTCTGAACAGTATAAAATCTGTCCAAAACAAACAAAAAAAAATCTATGGTGCATGTAACCTATTAACAAAAAAGTCAACATGATTTCCTGTAAAGAAGACACCCTTACTGTCTCTTTTGCGAAACAGCATCTTCCAAAAAACCGATCAGACTCAAGTGGGTGTTGAACCGATGGAGGTATTCACTTATTTGGTATAAGGTGTTGCAAATTCTAAGATTTAGAAGGTACAATACTTGCCCAGGAAACTTTCAGATGCGCATGACAAACTGATTCACACGGTTAAACATCTGACTCTCAAAAGATGAAGGGGATTTAGTAAAACAGTAAAGTGTGGAAGCACGGTGTCAAACTTCCGGTTTTTTGGTCCTCCACAACAAACTGTTGTTTGTAAATAGGCTGATTAGGCATGATGAAGGAAACAAAGCATAAATAAACAAAATGCTTGCAATAGCACAAAGGAGCTGTGTAGTCAAGAGAAATGCTTAATGGGCAGAAAATCTATAGATGCCTGATAATGACAACCTCAATTAAATATGTCATTTACATGTTATTTAAGCTCTTTTTTGAAGACCTAGGATTAGTCTGCATGCATAGGTCTTGTGCTAATTCCATGCACATATGCGCCCAGTGTGAATACAATGCTGTCCTCTCTGTTGGGAATCTTTATGAATGCTGGTGTCTAACACACTAAAACCACACCTGTGGTCTCTTCCTGCCAAAGAGTGAGATAAAAAGAGCAGTAAATTATAACCTAAGGATGGTCATCTTGTTTAGTGATTGCAGGAGCTAAACCCAGGTTTTGGACTGCCCCACGCTTGTGGAATGGGTCCAGATTTTCAGACATTTCCTTAGCAGTGTTAGCCTACTGTCTTAACGCTTCTCAAGTAGCCTTTTCCTTGTGTCTCGCCTGAGTAAGGCTTTCCCACACAAATAGCCAGTAGCTGTGATTGTATACATCCATTTGAACCAAGTCCCTAAATTACATAAAGGATCAACCATACATTTTCTTCCAATGTTACACTGACTAATAGCAATTTATCTCCCTGTGTAAAACAGAACAATTCCACCCCATATAGATTCTCTCACTAGTCCAAAAGACATGTACTAAGAACTATAATGCCCATGTGCAGCATTTTCTTTTACTTTAGCACCTGGAGTTGAAGAAAACTAAGGACTGAACCTTGCATCTTAGAGCAAGTTGCAGACTGCCAGGTACTCTGGGAAAAAAAAAACAAACTTTCTTGCTGTTTTTACTGTGTTGATATTGCCAATATGCCAGAGGGGAAAACATCCCAGTTAATTGTTCTTAATTTGCAAACATGGCCTCAATCATCCATTCAAGAAAAGAGACAAGGCATTACACAAGAGCTGGAACTTCATGAAACCTACATCCCCATTTTTCTAAGTTAATTTCCCTAGTTTGCCTTCATCTTTCTGTTTACATTAATTTACATTATTTACTTCAACATAACCAATTATCTAGGTGTAACAGAACAAGATGTTATGAAAGAGCATATTCAAAACAAGATGTACAGACCCTCTGGTAACCATCAGAACACTTTTAAAGAAATTATGTCAAGTGATCAACACAAAGCACTCATAACTCCTCCCACAGAAAAGTGTCTTTTTCCTAAAAGTCTTGGGAGACTGAATTTCATTTTAGCATGTATTGATTTCATCAGTTTACTCTCAACTTGCTTCTAAATGCCTCCTGTACCTCTGCTGTAATGCCAGAATATTAGACACTAAGAATATGAGCAGGAGTTTAATTTTTCTACATCATACTGAATAATTCTTAAGAAAATATACTTGTCAGAGATGAACACTGTGAAATCTAGTACATTGCCCAGGTATTTTTTTCTCATGTTTTAGAACTTCCCAGTACGTATAGTGAAGGGGACTGAGTTTCTGGTTTGTATTTCACAAAGTTGCAGAAGGTACCTTTGAGACAGATTCAGATTTACTTGCATAAATATTCTCCGCCTTGAGCTTGCTTCTCCTTTACCCACCTCATTGGAATATAAAACATAGTTCTTTCAAATCAACAAAAGCTTACATATTTGGCAGTCCTCAGCTGCAATGTCATTGTCAAAGTTAATCCGTTTTTATAAACTACCCTTCTAAGAATAACTATCTGATTGCTTGAAGGGATTGAGGTTAAAAGCAGTTAAAAAAAAAAAGGCAAATCATTTCCAGTGCAAGCAAAGATGAAGGGCCCACTAGTGCTTCAGGAATTATAAGTCTCCTGAGTTGTAAAAGATATCCTCACAAGAAGAGCAAAGAAATCCACATTTCTAATTGTGCAGTTTTCGCTAATAACGACCTGGCGTATCAACCTGTATCATCCTGACTTTGTACGTATGCCCTTCGTTTTATATGACTGTCAGTCAAAAAGGACAGAACCACCCTTCATTGTAGGCTTTCTGAAATAACGCTTAAAGGAGAAAATTCTGACTAGATTGAAAAGAAAGTAAAAAAAAAAAACAGACAGACAGGTAAATTAAGGTAAATTAAGCCAGATGGCCAAAAGGAGCTTAGGAAGGGCAACTGAAGAATGCATAGTAAACAACCTCAGTCCCTCAAAGAGCAGACTTATCACTCTCCCTGTGGCAATTCCTTCCCATAGTTTTGGGGAATGACCTGTGGGGAAGGGTTGAAAGAGACACCTTCACCAGTCCTGTGTGAAAGCCCTCTATCTCAGTTGCAACGATGGGCCCAATCTGGTGACTTCTTTCCACACTTGTGGCATCATAGATTAAAGAAAGTAATTCTAGCAACACGTCCCCCACCAGTTCCAACTGTCCCAAAGATTCCTGCTAAAAAAAATGCAGCAGCAGTGTGAATTTTGGGCCCGTTTATCTATGTATGTATGTATCTATCTATCTCTCCCTCCCTCCTAGCAGCTTTTCCTCCGTATCACCATTTTCTACAAGCCCCCACTAAGACTCCCTCTGGTTTTGGGCAAAAGGCTACAACTTCCATATGCACACAATAGAAAAGACCTATGTGCATGTATATTGGGATTACAGGACTCTTTCCTGTAACTGAAAAGAAATATGAGATCATTTTAAGCAAAGGACTGTTCAGCAGAACAGCTGTAGATATCAAACAAAAAATGATGCTATTTCAGCCAATGAAGTTGGTTGCTCCACTGATTCCTGTCAACGGCACAAGACATAATTCTGCTAAGTTACAGATCTGTGCTGCCATTTGTCATGGTTTGAGAAGAATTTTGATAGAATTATAGCCTCCTACATTTCCAAGTTCTTCTTCAGTTTGTCATGTCTAATTTAGTTTCAGAAAGCTGTGTGGACACATATCCCATTTAATATCTGAACTTAACTTGAATAGTCAAATATATTTCTATCATATTACATCACATTAAATGGACATGTTCTCTCTGTCCAGTAGGAAAATACAAGCATTTAATGCAATATTCAATAAAATACAATTTGAAAGACTGAGGATCACACTGCTGATTTTATAAAAAGTAATTTGAGATGAGGATCTGAAATCGTTCTTCCATTCTTCTATAACAATCTACCAACCTGTACCAATTATAATATTTATCATGTATGCAGCATTTTGATTAAGTTGCTTTCTTTTATGGTCTATAAAAATAGATTGTGAAACTGAGACACACAGAGATTAAATGCCTGGAACTGATACGCTAATCCACATAATGTGTCAGTGACTGAGGCAGAGAAAGACCCAAAATACTGCTTTAGGGGTACCAAAGTATTAATAATAGATATAATTTCTGCTCCATTAAGGAAAATAAATATTACACTAGGAAGATGATTTTAACTGACATATGACATATAGATATGACTGACATATTATTGTATATCAGGTTTTAAACAGATTAAAAACTCTTTAGATGCTATGCACAACAGTAGCTCCTAGATAGCAGATGAGTGAAGACAGAATGATAAACAAATATAATTAGTCCTTTGCAAGACTAAACCAGTTAGTTGAACATTATAACAATGTCAATAATCTTTGCTTGGCAGGTCTATTTTTTATTCAACATGATCTGTTGCAATATTATGAGTCAAAGACTCAAATAACCAAGTGCATTATCACCAACTCTAATGGAGTTTTAATATGCCTGGTCTGAAACTGCTGACTGGTTTATCCCTTGTCAATCAAATCTGCTGAATCAATAAACTTCTAAGAATATTTGCTAAAAATTACATATGTAAGCACTAATCACTTCTTTGTTTGCTTTTCTTTCAGCAGACTAATTTTTTAAGAAATTGTTCTTGAAATTATATTCCAGGATAATTATGCTTGTCTAAATAAATTCTTGCAATGGAATTAATTCATATATATGTTAGTATTAATAGCCAGTATTTTAGCATCTCAAGCCACCCCCAGCTACTGCTAAACACCAGTGAAAACACTGCTATGCATCTACTTCAGATGAACTTCAGAAAATGAAATGTCACTTACTTTCCGTTGCTTTACAGAATCCAGTTTTACCAACCAATAGGATGCCACTTTTGTTTTATGATACTTCCAATTATCCATAATCTGTAGTCATTGCAAAACACAAGATAAAAGAAATACACATAAAAACAACTGAAGTCTGGCATTTCATTCACAAGCATTCCTGATGCTAAAAAGTGTGAGCATCTAAAAGACCTCTGTGAAAAGAACTGTTCTCTAAAAGAAATAGAAGAATATTTGCATATTTATGTGGGGGAACGTTTGCAAAGACGTGTGCAATCTTTCAGTTTAATCCTACCCTCTTTTCCACTTGATTCTGACAGTCATACACTACAAAGCAGGTAGAAACTTGTCTTGACTGACTCAGCTCGGTTTCCTTGAACACAGCAATAAGTTCAATAAAGCATAACTGTTAATCTATTTAATTAGTGAGGTTTTTTGCTGCATAAAGGACATTAGACATACCTTGAAAACATCCTTTCTACAAGTGATCATATATGAACTGCAATACTCTCCTTTTATGATGTCTAAGTGCTACCAAAATAGCCCGAGCTGTGAACATACATTTTTATTCTCGTTTTGTTATTTTATCTTTCTATTCTGTTTCAGACCTACAAGTCCTGCCTCACTGACAACTAATATGCCATTACTTGTTTCCTTCCATGATGAAATATTGTTTCCCATCAGAAACTGCTTAAAGCCAGACAAATTTATAAAAGAATTCTGCAATGAGAAAGTGCATTTATAACCATGCTAACGTTGTATGAGAAAGCACCACTAGATGGAGTGCATACGCACACATGCTCCCATATGTACATAAATGCACACACACTCTCACATGTCTGAAGGAGAAAATTCGACGAATCATTTATTTCTGATTCTAAGATGAGAAACTAAATATGCTAGTTATGAATTCTATCTTCCAGAATCAACCATCACTACAGGAGAATTCCTTTCCACTGTGATGTAGTTGCACAGATTACTAGAGACATAATCAACATTTTGAAAGCTCACAGAGCAAAGGACATTTCCAATCAGATAATGAATTAGATTAATTTTAACACACCGTGGGCTGTGCTTACCACATCAGAATACAGGTGTTAATTTAAATTACTAGATCCCTTGTGGTGGTGTGTTCCTCCCCCCTCTTTTCCTCTACGATACAATCTCAGAACCTTCTGTTAAGCTTTAGCCATTGTTTATGAGTTAGGCGGTTAAGCATCCCTTGCATGGCTAAGGTGGGCAACGACACTGATCGTACCAGGGACACTCGCTACATGAACATAACCAAGAGATAATTCGTCATCTCTGACGGCTCTGAAGCATTCCCTACCGGGATCATAGCTCAAGTGGAACAACTGTTACCACTGTTACCGTGAAACAATACCATAATTACTACTCTGGACCACTTCGGATAGTAGCCAAAATGGAAATCTACTGATGACTAAAGCCAATCATCTCGCAAACCTATAAACAGCGGTACCAAGTGAGACCCTTTGAGTTCTCCTGGACCACAGCAGGCTGCATCCAGAATCTCCCTCTGAGTGGGATGCCTCTCAGAGTCTGCAAACTTGAATTTGCGATTCTCAGAGGAACACCAGGATTTGGGCTGAAACACTCCTCGGGGCCCAACCCTTCGCCTGTTGAGAAATGCTAAAGCATTTAACGTGAGTATTTCATGGGACTCGAGGGGAATTTTTAACAGGTATACCTTTATAAATTTAGCTCTCTTCAGGCCTTTCATTTAGCTTTGGTACCATATTCATATGCATATATATACGTATTGATTGATCTAGATCTTTTTGCGCGCTTATCTCTACAGTTACTAACAAGTGTAATCCGTAGTTAAGTTGTTTTAGTATTTGTAGTAACTTGACTAATTCGTCGTATAGCTGCCAAATTGATTAATGCTTAAGTATTGTTGGACTCTACGTTGCTGCTAAACACTCTTAACCCTTTAGTCATAAACCGTCGCCCAAGTCTGAGACTAAGATTAGGTCCAGTCAGATCCTCTCTGAACCTCGTGACTCAACGGGAGGGTTTTCTTATCCCTTTTTGTATTAGACACAAACCATTGTCCAAGTCTGAGACTAAGATTAGGTCCAGTCAGATCCTCTCTGAACCTCGTGACGCAATGGGAGGGTCCCTCTTACCCTTTTATCCCCAATCTCTATACAAATCATTCCAACACAATTCTGATACGATTTTCCCCTATGTACACTTAATCCATGTAATAAGTAATAAAGTGAACCTTGCCATCAAATTCTGTTAAGTCACATTTCTATAAATTTCTATTAAAATCACCCTTTGCCAATACCTTTGCCAGTGATTCTTTACGCGGCCTTAAAACCACTCATTCGTGACATCGCTCCGTACCTCTACTAGATGGAGAAAAAAACTTCTATCTTAATTTTTTTTTTCTTTTCCAAGCTGATGTTAGTTTCTTTGCACTAGATATTTAAAAAGGATTTAGATACCATGTATTTTCTCCTTATATAACTGAGTATTAGGTGTTGCTTTTTAATTGCCCTTTAGATTGGGCATTGTTTCACAAGTCTTTGATGCCAAACGATGAGGCTCAGGACAATGTTGGATGTAAGAAAGGGTAAGCTGGCAAACTAGAAGAGCCAAAAAAGAGTGTGACTGGTGTTCTTTATGACAAGCAAATTTCCGGTTTGCCTTGCAGCATACCATTCCGAGTTCTCTAGTATGCCTATTCAAGAGCAAGTTAAACATGTCAGGAGCTATACTAACAATATCAGATGAAATATAAACTGTTAATGAATTGTAACATTCTTCTTAGCTTACTTAAAAGTTTAAACTTTCTCCACAATGAAAAACTGAATTTTCCTAACCTTCCTGATTGTTTCTCATATATTTTATAAAGACATAGGAATGTTTTCAATGCTGCTCTTTTAAGGTCAGAAAGCATGCAAAGCTCCAAGCTTTTGAAATCTTTTGAATTATCTTGAGTTATGGAAGTTTTAAGACCACAGGAGCTCATGAATCATAAATTAGGCTTCCTACTTTCCTTCACCTTAGTGGCCTAAACAGTGTCTAGCCTGTAATTCTTCTTTCTTATTTATAGATACTTACATCTTCTATAATTAATTCCGATTCTTCATCTGTTTTACCTGGGAACTTCATTCTCATGTCATTGATAATGAGAAGAGTCTCTTTTGTCAAAGCAACTTCTTGCTCTTTTGTTTTCTGTTGCAGCAAAGACTCACTCTAAAAATCAATATGAAGCAGAGGAAAAATTTCAGGCGTGTCATTAGATCACATTACAAAGATGTTTCTAAATTAATTCTAAATAGTGTGACATGAAATATACTATTAAAGTGGATAGACATAATATCTAATATATAACTAATATACACACATATGCCTCCTACACTAATGCATCAGCATTACTTACAGTTGTCAAGAAATTCAAGAAAAACAGTTCAAATGTAAGTTTGTTTGAAGCAGAATAAATAAATATATATTTGATATTTATGATGCCCACCATTTAAAATATAAATTTGAAATTTAGATAATAGTCTTTGAGTTTAAATTCAACATAATGAAAAGAAATTATTAGTCATAAAAAACTTCCTTTCAGTTCTTCACTGCAACAATTTAACAGAAACTGCCACTTATATGTCATTGTGCCAAGAATTCAGGAAGCATTAAAAAGTAAGGACACTTTGCTCCTACTCTGGTCAGTGGGGGTTCTGACAGTGTCTTTGATTGTCCAGGATTTTGTTTAAAATATCAGTGCCTTTTATACCAACACCAGCTTGAACCCCCACAGTGTCTGCGTAAGACTATCTCTGGAGGAGTTAGTTTAGGGTTTTCTTTAAATCTTAGACACTAGTTAGAAGTATTTCTGATCCTCTTTCTTTACTTTTGCATTTGCAAAATTAAATGGGCTTAATTTTATGTTTTTTTCAAGAGTGAAATGCAAAATTATTCGACATTTCTAAATCTTTGTATTTTGTAAGAACTACACTACTTACTTAAGGATATTTTTGCCTAAGTGAGTGATAAATATTTTCAAGCATAACAAAATATTTTGCTATACGATATATAATAATGTGGCTGAAATAAGATAGCAAATATTTCCAAATCCACTTTTGTTTATAACTGCTATAATAATGTGTCTGTAATTCCCAACTGTAAATGGCTTATTCTACACTTAGTTTCCATACCTTTAGTACCTTTGGATCTCAGCAGCCTCCAAAAACGGCAATATACTGCTCTTTTCTTGCCCAAAGGACAGATAAACTAATACTTTATCACGCATAAATGGTTTCTTCTTAGTAAGTTACAGTTTATCAATTTTAATTTTATTCTAGCAGTAATATATAGTATATTATTCTTAGTTGCAAAAATAATTATGAACAGAGTTCCATTCACAATACAGTGCTAAATTATGAGTAGTTCTTATCCATCTGTAAGTAATTTTATTCACATTATTTAAGAAGCATGACCTAAGCTCTATCACCCAACATAATTGTTCTGCATATCAAGATCATTTCTGTGGTGGAGCTTTCTCAACGAAAAAGAGAGTATGGTTTCTTACTAATGTTAATTTAAGTGAGTAGCTCATTTTTAATGTCAGATAGTAAGAGACAGTTTTTAATCTTTCAGTAATTTGTATTTGATATAGAGTTAATGTGAATAGAAAAATCTATATTAGCCCTGTCTCATTAAACTCTCAGAGTACATCTTGATGATAAAAGGGTACTTTTTAAACTTGAGATAGCTAATGTGATAGAAAATACCTTTAACACGTTGTGGTGAAGACACAGTCTTAATGTCTTTCCAAATCTATTAGCTGACTTTAAAGATGGAAAACCATGTTAAGGAGTATTTCACAAGATGTCAGCACACAATTTTAAAAGGATCCTTTTTCATCATTTAGACAAAGCCTCACAGGCAAAACAGACAATGAGTGTTCTACCGGATAAAAATGATGATTAGAGATAGTAAATACTATGAAGCAAGTTAATTAGCATTACAAAAGGATTTCTCACAATCAAAGCTCACCACGATAGAGAAAGGCTGCAAATATGGGTTAAAAGTGCCAATTTGTTTGCCTCATCTCCAGATGAATTATTTGGGTGATGAAATATACAGGTCAGGCACCAAAGCATGAATGGAAATGCACTGGCACCAACACCCAGTACAATACTGAATGGGGTTGGAGACCGACCCCAGCAAACAGTGTCTTGGGATAAGTAGATATGTGGTCCACCATGCAAACACAAAAGAAGAAATGCCTGGATTGTGAAGGCGATACCAAAGAGGATGACAGTCTGATCACAAAAAGAAAAAGTGTATGGTTCAGAAGTACATTGTGAAATTACAACTAACCACACAAATTCTAAACAGCTAAAAATGTTTAATCTGATCTATTTATTCTATTAATTATTTAGTTAGACCACCTGAGTCTAAATGCTTGTCTGTGTCAGGGACAGGCTTCAAAATGAAAGAAGTTTTATCTTCACTTTAAAAAAAAAAGATGGCTTCTGAGACATTTACTGCAGTGGCAAATCCTAAAGACGACAAGAACTATCTATAAATTTTAAATTGTTCCCTTTGGAAGCAGAGCTCTACTGCAGTGGTATAGTATATGCGAATTAAGTACAGTAGGTTGAAAATTAATTACACCTTCTTCTACAATGGACACCCATACAAAGTCTTACTAATGTTTTATTCTGGTACAATGTATTTACCCCAGGAGTATACTCTGGTTTTGAAATATTGATGTATTTTTGTTACTGTAAAGATTTTGAAGGTAGGTACACCCTTATTTCAGAATCAGCAGTCCCCAAATCACAGAAACTTTTTAGGGGAGGTAAAAATTCTTTCTGTCTTCAAAAAACTATTTAGGAGAGCAGGTTTTCCAGTCACAAAAACTCTAAAATTTCCATTCTCACAAAATGTCACATCTGTATTGCTGCACCAGAAACACTGAAACATCACAGCTAGCGCTCACTGTAAGTCACATGTAGGTCTAGAGATCTTATATTCCTGAGTTTCTGTCAAAATAGCACTGACTATCGTACCTCAGGTTTTCTGAAATTGTAAAAATTAGTAATGTATTTACTGAGTTTTAGAGAAATGGAACACATTTTGAATGCAACTACTGTGTTAACTCACCCCCGAAGAGTTCATAGTTCCCAAGCTGGGTGTCTGAGGGACTCTGGCCGAAGATGGGCTGCGATTTAAAGAATGAGATCTATTCACTGAGGATGCATGCTGGATTTGCAGAGATGCTTTGGCTGAAAAGGGACGTTGCTCAGCTGCTTGTGACTGCATAGTCAATATTGATATTGAACGAGGGCAGCTTACTGAACGCCTTATTGGACCTGTGGATGATGTGGGGGATGAATATGATGGAGATTTTATATTTTTAATCGAAGGTTTCCAGTTCATTCTACCTGCAGACAAATTAAATGAACGATGCAATTACTTACTCTTTTAACACCCATTTTTCAGTCTTTGTAACCAACGTGTTATAACCAACGTGTGCACATATGCTGTACTATAATGTAAGTTGACTAACAACTATATATGCAGCAGTCAGTCATGTCAGATCCTCTATAAATACATACTTTACATACTCTATAAGAACATTTATTTCTTCCTCATAGTCAGCTTTAATCAGGTGGACTCCAGTCCTCTATAACATGCATCAGATTTATGACAGACTGCATATGCCCTATAGGTCAAAAAGTATGTGGCTACTATGTATGGCTTCCTGCCTGTAAGAATATGGAAGCAGGAGAGAAAATTTGGTTGATGGATCCCATATTTGCAGATCCGGTCTCCCTCATCTACTCCTGCATAGCTGTTTTTTAATTCAGTCTTCTGCTAAATAAAGGATGCTGCTATGAAAAATAAAATTTTAGAAGCAGCGTTATGTGTGTGCAATCACATGACGAAATTCTCTGAGACTATAAACCGCTAAAACAAAAAATAACATGCTATATCTACCATGTTCAACAGAACACGCTTACACTAATGCTCTGCAGCAAGCAAGAAAACAATCACAAAAAAAAAAATCTGTGCAGGGATCTCATCTGGAATATATTACCTGCTATATGTCTCCAGATACATTTCTTTATCCTTTCTATATTCCAGCAAATTCAAGCTTAGTAAGACTACCTTTTACAGGGAAAAAAATAAAAATCTGCTCAAAAAAAATTCTCAGAGCAAAGAGGAACATTCACACCATTTCCAAGTGTAGCCCAGGTGTATTTTTCTCTTTAGTACTCTCAGCAAAAGAATATTCATTTTTCCCTTTTTTTAAAATTCATTTTCATTAATTTAGAAAATATTTTAAAGACGACAAAACAAGCAAACCAGTGTTTAACCCTGAGTTACAAATGTTGATACGTTCTAAAATACTGAAGCATTTTATATAATTCATCATGAATGCCAGACTTAGTTGGAAAAGTGATCATTTAACTTACCTGATCGTTCCAAAGATTTATATTTATTTTCTTCAAGATCATACGAAACTTTTTTCTCTTTTTTTTCATTGTGATCTTCCTTTTCAGTTTCTTCTCCTGATTCTGTCATGCTGCTACTGCTATCACAGCTACTATCACTATTGTAGTTCTTAAGTCTTCTTAAGGGCTGTGCACTTTCTGGCATTGAACACAAGGGCTAAAGCAAAAAACAAACAAACAAACAAACAAACAAAACCACCCAAGAAATTAAATTATTTCAAAATCCCAAAAGAACACTTTACTATCACACTAGGTCCCTGATTCAGGCAAGTTCATTTGTACATATTTAAACCCTCCCAAATTAGATTGGACGTTTGTCCTTAATTTTAAAATAAATGCTTAAATATTTCATTAAATTCACTACACAGTAATCCTAATCTTTCTCACATGAAGAGCAGTATAACATAGTAAGCGGAAGAAAAAATCATTTTATTTCAAGTATGACTTACACTACCAGACATGTTGAATTAGTTTGAAATCATAAATCAAGTGATACAGAATACCATTTACAATCAGTTTCAATCCCTCACTGATATTTGCAATAACTGAAGCTATAGTTTAACAATGATCAATGTGAAGTAAAGAAATACATCAGGGAACTTTGGCTGGTACACTTCTGAAAGGGAAAGTGATTAATCCACGTCCTGCAGAAAGCAGAAACTGGACGAATATAGCAAGCTATGCTAGGTGTATTTGGTGTCCCATATGCACATGGGATTCAGTGTCATTAGGTAATTAATCTTGTGCTATTACCAAGGATACTGCAAGACAAAAAGCAAAAAGTAGGAGACAGAGAAACTGATGCAAGAACATAAACTACAAATGAAAATTTTTCTTCTTCCATCTTCCATCAGGCAGACAAGAAAAATGCAATATCCTCCATTATATCTACTATCCTAAGAAAGCTAATGTGGTCACTTTTTTTTCCTACACATTTTCTTTCTTTCCAGTAACTCTCAGCTATACGAAGCTATGGTGATGGCCTCATCTTCCCAGTCATCTAATGGACTGCAATTAAAACTCGATCTGAAAAAAATTAATATCATAATTTCTGAACATATTTTAGGTCAGAGTGAAATAGAAGAACTCTTGGGATGAATTTAAATTGCCCTATTAGCATAATGTAATGCACCAAGATTTATTGTGAAGGGCAATAGAACAACGCCCCAAAGATACTGTTCCTGCAAGATACACTTTATAACTAAACATATTCTACCTAAACTTCTATTCCAGCCAAGGAAGGAAAGAGATTTCTGCCACTAACTTAAAAGCGACAGTATGTTTATGCAAGCTCAAGCTATTAGACCAGATCAGGAGGAGTTGAAGAAGTATATTCCATTGAGGAGAGTCCTGGCAATTGTTCAGATCACACAAAGAATATTTTGATATCTATCTACCTGCCAAAAGGACAAAATAAGGTGCCTCAACACTTACTGCTTTCTCAGAAAAAGCTGTCCTAATCATAACATGCTGTGTATCATGGAGATATATTGATCAGACATTCCTGATGAGTTACACGAGGTATAATAAACATTTTCAATCAAAACTCACAGGGGCTTTAAGGTAAATGTCATTCCCACTTATCATATGCATGTTCCTCACACATTCTACACTAAACAATAAGAACATCCTGACCAATTAACAAAGAGGAATAAAAAGAAAGGTCAAAGAAATTACAAAAAGCAATAATGACAAATAATAGCTGGATCTGGGTTTAAACTGACCTCTTAAAATAAGATATATTTGATTGCTTAGCAATTCTAATCACCTTGATTTTCCCCTTATGCTAACTGCATTTTTCTTTAATTAAACTCATCTGATTTCATATCAGAAGAATAAAAGTAATTGCTCATTTCCTCTACAATATCTGTTATTTTATTTCCTTAGCTCTTTTTCCTGCACAAACAGGTGCAATGTAATAAACCCGAGTCAACCTTACAGCGTGTAAGGATAAGGTGCCCTCTAGAGGCTACAAATAAACCAGACATTTCCAGAATGTATTTTTCAGTCTAAGTAGAATTCAGTAATATTTTAATGGCAGGCAAAAATGCCTTCATTCTGGGAAATTCTTGACTTGTTTTCTACTCTGAGGTCCTAATCACATTCAAATAAAAATAAGGCTGAAACTCCTAGCAAATATGGAATAGTTGTTACATGCAAAGCTTATTTATAGACACACACCTCTCTACCCCTCAGATATATACATATGTACACATATATGTATATATATGTTTCTACGTATGGAGGAGGATGAGGAGGAAAACCCCGCTCGCTCTTAACTATTCCAGCTGTTCTGGAATTTTCTGAGTCCTGATTGTTCCTTTTCCCAAGGAAGAGAGTGTGCCCAAGGCAGAGCATCTGACTTCCTAACAGTAGCTTCTGTCAGCAGGCCAGCCACTGGCTTTTAAGGGAGGACAGGACTTTAAAACCTTCTGAAAGAACCTTTCACATTGGGTAACGTGATATGAAAAGTACTGTTCCTTCAGGTTTGTTCTGTCTATCAGATCTTGCATAAGTTACTTTTTTGATACGCTAATGGATCTTTATTTGTAGGATTTTATGATTACAAGAAGATGAGTTTTACAGCCTTCCCTTTTGATTTCATCAATTTTATGGCAAAAAAGAAGAAGTGGGAATTTTGGTCATAGGCAATTTTTAATTTCTCCTGAAAGTGCAAACAATATTGTACAGGTAGAGCAGCTTGTGAGCTATGGGATCCATTTGCCTGCTATAAAAGAAGACCATGTCATATAGTCTGACTCACAAATTGATCAAACTTCATCTTAAAACTAGTTAAGAGAGGTTTCTCAGTTTGGGCTCAGTACCCTATTAAATGCTTATGACCCCCAGCTTGGGAATGGCTTGTGTGCAACCAGTGTAGAGATAATATAGATCAAGTCTGTGTGCACACAGTCAACCAGATAGATGTTCTCTGAGGTCTGCTGGGAAAAGACAGGCTTCTGGAAAAAGGAAAAACGTGACTGAGATGTTGAACTTGAATTCAAGTGACCCTATGTTAAAGAACTGAAAACAAAACCTCAAGGAAAAGAATCCCTGAAGAATGTGGGTTGAGTGTGTTGCCAGGGTGGACTGGATTTTTTTTTTTCTTCTTTAAATGAATCCACCACTGTTAAAGCACTAGCTCACAAATCCGTATATCTATAATGAGGTTCCTGCAAATCTATCTTAATATCAGATGGGGTATGCAGATCCTTTTTCCAGTATGCACGCTTGTAATAAGATGTAGCTCTTTGGATTCTTGAACATATATAAAGTACCCCTGCAAGCTCAGGACAATTGTCAGCATTCATTTTGTACAGAAATTGCCAGATTTATACACCATGTTCTCAGAAATATAAAATGCTTTAAAAAAATTTACATGCACCCATACACAAATCCATCAGAGCTCAGGAACATAAATGTAGGCTCTTCTAAGCAGACTTCACCTAAAATGTTTGCAGGATATAAGACACATACTTATTTCAGCCAAGTCCAAACTATTTATCTTTACTGGCTTACAGAGATATGCAATGTATTTAAGGCAAAGACTTGCATGAACTATGCACACAACCAGAAAGCATTAAGCTAAAAATAATATACATTCACTTTAAAAGCAGATTTTGGATACGAAACAGGCTCCAAGGTATACTGTACAACCCTTTTAGCAAGTAAGCAAGCTACAGATACATCATAATCATAATTAATCCTTTGAGCTTCCATAGTGCCTCTTATCCCATGATCTCAAAATTCCTTAGTGGCACTAATTGATTAAAGATGAAAGCATTCTTTTGAGATAGGCTATGGATATAAAAATCATTTCACACACTGAAATCAAACAATCTCTTGTACAACAGCTGTTGCCATGCACGATAATTCCTCAAAATAGCTTCGAGAAGAAAACAAGGATCTCATATCCAGTTAAAATTTTAATGGGATTTAGTTGGACAAATGGTAGTTATGCTTCTCTTCATACTTCAAAAAAAAAAACAGGCTAATGGCAGTCTGAGGAAGAAAACTTCTACCAGTATCAGCTAACTAAATTCCCCACTTAAAATTCTAAGATTACTTCTCTACAGAGCGAAATTAAAAATTGGTATCTAAAAGTCAAATACCTTAGGTCCTCGCTGCCTGGTGCATTTTCCCATTAGTTTTTCATCATCTATTTCACACTGCTCCAGAAGATCCAAAATGTCCTCCTCCTAGAAATGGGAATTTTGCTACAATTAATTCAAAGCAGGACATATCCTATCCTTCCAAAGCTCAAGCACCAACTGGTAGGAATTTGAAATTACTTTGATTACTAATTCCTGAAATAAGACTCTGAATCCCTCCACAGAGGATATAAAAGTATTTCTTCTGATGCATGCAACTCTGCTTGAAATCAACATGAAATTGACAGTTAAAATCAAGTCTCAACATTTATTAAAGATAAAAGTCTGAAGAAAGGGTTGAACAAAGATTCCTGTAGAACTGCTGGATGATGCCAACTACAAGATGGGAACTATTTCTCGGATTTTAAATTAAATCACTTTAGTTGGTTATTTTAAATGTAGCCATTTTCCTGCTGTTTATCTCTGACTACATAAGTAGGCAATCAGGCAGAGTTTTTGGATGCCTTAAACTAGTGGAGCTGGTTTTATGATATCTCTCATTCCAGTCCATACAAGTGGATAAATAGGCTGGGGACATTACTGGAGGAAGAAGGAGGCAATTACCAGCTCAAAAGCAGTTTCTGCCAACCTCTGGTTTGGCCAGGGGTAAGGCTGAGGATCAGGGAAATGGTAAAGTAGCTTAAAGCCATCTAGCCTGTCTCCACCCTGGGTCCACTGCAGTTCATCCAGATTCAAGGATCTGGCCCACAAGCTGCACAAAGAATAATAAAATGATGGAAACATTATCAAATGCTATTTATTAGCCATCACACATGATAATCGTGTAACTAATCCACAAGGTCATGAATTCCGAGACAAATAACTCCTAAAGCCAATACTTCTTGTGCTTCAGTACCTTCATTCTTTTTAAAGGGTTATTCATTTCCCGCTGAAGTGAAGCTGCTCTCCCAGCAAGAAACGTCTGGAAAGCAGTGGCTAACAAACTCTCATACTTTTCAAGTAATGTCTTATCATCAGGAGGGTAAATTCGCCTAAAACAGGGGAGAAAAAAATTGAGTTTAAGATAGAAGCTGAGCTACTTATCACACTAGGAACAAAAGTAATGCAGCTAATTCACGGTGTCTTCTATAATGCATATGCAACCCATCTATAATAATTATATAATATCATATCATAAAACATATAGTCTAAACATTGCTCTCTAAATCTAATTTTAACTCAGAGAACACATTCATGTTTAAACCAGCAATTAGCCAGTCAAAAGAAATACCATGCAGGTCATTCCAGAGATATACCAAAACTCAGTTTCGCAGTACTCTGAAATTTCAGTGGATGTGAATAATGCATGCAGGTGTGAATGATTCATGAAATATTAACAAAATATTGCATGTAAAATTCAGAGCCACAAAATAATTTGTATTAGCAATAAAAGGACACAAAACAATGAAAATCTGAATAATTGCTTTGAGTTAATGGGCATGATGTAAATTGAAGATTGAGTATGTACTGCACTTGAATGCTAAATCCTCCAAAATAATGAACAGGAAGAAATAGATACTATAAAAAAAAAATTTCTGGTACACGGATGTACAGGGTGACTCTGATTTTCCATTAGAGCAGCTATGCCATTATTCTCTAAAATTACAGGTAAGGAGATTATGACAATATGAGAAGCCGCACTTGGTGATTTATTCATGCTCATCAAGCTACAATGGGCTTTGAAGAAAACCACTCCAATCAATTTGTCATGAATGCCTGAAACACAGCCAGAAATTGTGAAAGTGGAAGACTAATTTCTAATGTATTGTAAGGAGTTAATTCTGCCTGCACTGTGCAAAGCATAGGTACCATTTATATATTGACTGGCATTATGTGACTCTTAATGTTTTTGTGGATCTTTTGAGAACTTTTTACAAGGTTCTTTCTCCTTCTTCCTTTTCAGTCTTTTCCTCCTTGAAAGGGTATCTTTCATGATGATTTTGTTGCAATGAAAAAAGGATGGTTATAATCCCATTAGACTCAGGGCAGTACTACAGCAAACTGAAGATGGTTCCAGTTTGCATAAAATACCTGTAGTTGCAGTCAACACCTTTTAATGGTGTTGATTCTACTGCTGAAAAAGTGACATAGAACAATACCTTAAAGAAAGGATATTCATTTTAATATGTCTAGAAATACACTGAAGCTAAAGGTCTTTTCAAAGTCATATACATCCTTTTCAGTTCCTCATGAATTCATAAATGCTTGAAAGCATGGCTTCTACTTCGACCACCCCTACTGGAATCAGTGGGCTAGTTGTGCTTGCAGACAGACACTTGACTAAGCCAGCTGCTGAACTTGACATACATAGATTAAATCAAAGCCTGCTGAGATTGATTAGGTTTCTCTGGATTTTTATTCAGAAAGCAATATTAATCCATGCAGCTATACTAGCACCCAAAATTTCCATGATTCTATGGCAATGCCTGACAGAAGCTAGTCCTGCTCTGCAGGAGAACATCACAAGGAGAAAATACTGCATAACGCTCAGATAAAATTTCTCTGCATCTCTAGCCAAGATTCCTTTACTTCTCAGGCTCTGCTGATTCTTCAGCCTTTTTGCAAACACATGGTAATAAGAAAACACAAAGCTGTTCTGCCCTTTCACATCTGCACATTCCTCATGAAATGACACTTTACTTTTTCCTGAGGAAAAAAAATATTTTTGTATTTTTATTGATTTACATTAACCAAAAAGCTAAATAAAGAGAACATTTGGCTCATTTTCAGTAAAGAACTGAATAAGCAACCTAAAATGCGATCAGTTAAAAAGTTAAGACTTTAAAGTTATCGAAAAGCAAAATCTATTAAAGCATCAGGATGTTTCTCTTTCTTATAGTCTACGTAGCACGAAAATAACTGCTTCATTGTGGGGTTTTTTTGATGTGCTAGTTCAGCTCCACATATGTCAAGAAAGGATGTAATTAAAACTGGGAATGTTACAAAGACAGACTTTTTGTAAGCAAAATGTTAATTCATCAAAAATGAAAATTTCACAGAAACATCTATCTATTTTCATGAGAACCTTACTGGGAATTATAGAACATCTGCTCAAAAAAGCAGAGATAAAGAACAGCAGTAAAGGCATTCTGACTAATTCAGAATAAAAGATGTGAACCAAGACCTCCCATGTCCTGGATGAATGTTATAAGGAGTGGGCAAATGCTCCCATCATCTCTTCCTAGCCGTACTCCACCCCGTTTTACCAAATATTCATAGGCCTTGCTTTCACTTCTCATTGAAGCAAATATCAAGAAATAATAATAATAACAAAAACATCATAAAACAAAATTATTGTTTTCTGGCCAATGCCTATTATAACCAACAAGTTAAAACTTCCTTTTGAACGTATTTTTCCAAGTAATCTGAAGATACTTACGTTTAAGCCTACTAAGAACCAAAATCAAAGTGCAGAAATATGAATATACTATTTATTTCAAATGCCATTCTATCAAAAATGATAGAAGGACCAATAAAGTTTCTGAATTTTTGGCAAAGATAGCCAAAAATAGATAACATTCAGATTTGATTTCTTACAAGGGAATACTCAATTTGATTTTTTTATAGGGGAATACTCACACCCCTATATTACACACCCCCACCCCCCCCCCCCGAGATAAGAATCATCATATGTGATTATAGAACAGGTCCATTAATGACAGTCATGGCTCTTGGTATGCTGAATGTGAACAATCATGTCTTTCAAGCAAATGTCTTGCACAAACACTAGAGTGATTGATGTCATATAAATTCCTAAGTGCATGCAAAAATTTGGAATCAAAAAAAGAACTATTTGAAAAAAAAACTTTACTACCTGGTGTACACGTATATATTTTCTATAAATGCCTACACATTTTTGGCAGAAAATTATCATCTACTATAAATACTTGTTTCCATTATTCCTAAAGAATGCATTGAATACTTCCTACTAATAGAGTCAAAAATAGTTACCTGTAGTTCCCCATGTGTCTATTTTCATGCTCCTCTTTGGAAATCTGTTTACGTACTTGCGCAAGTCTTTCCTTCTACAAATCAAGAAAATAAGACAATTAAAACAAAGAGAGCATAAGCCATGGGCAACAAACAGCACATTTTTTCCTTCCTACCAGCTCTTCTTTTCTCCTTTCCAGTGTGTGGCGCTGCTTCTCCCAGTCTGAGGATCCTGGCAACAGTTTTTTCATTGAACCTTGACCATACAGTCTTTTTTGAGCCTCAGCCTTCTGTTGAGCTAAATTTCTCCTTTTATCACTTGTCCTGAAACACAGATGTTATTAAGATATGTCAATCCAGTGCAGCTGAGATGAGATGCACTTTCATCTCAAGTATATAATCTGTGTTTTTCAGTCAGTCATGTGCGGTTTATGATATAAAATTAGAATTTAAACACTCAAGAATTTTTTAAAAATATTAACTTCTATGGCTACAATATTTTCACATTTTAAGGTGTACTGTAATGACTCTGTACTATAACTTAATGTACAAACACGGTTGTATCTATTTTCCTGAAGTGTAGATTTTCTCCAACATATCCCATCTACAAGGTTTTCCTGTAGAGGGGTATGGCTTTTGACTGTATGAGAAACTATCGCCAAAGCAAATTTCCTGTGTGGCCACATGCCCGTGATGGCACTCATATCCCCACTTTGAGACCTGTTTGAAAAAATAATTTAAAAAAAAAAAAAAGTATGAAAGTTACTATTACCACTCATTTTTTGCAAGCACATGAGCAACAAGAAAAATTAAATTTGCGTTAACTTCAATAGCAAAACTGACAGCAAGGGAAACATTTACATTTTGAAAATATGAAGGTGGAAAAAAAGGTTTTCATTTTCTCCTAGTCCAGTTCAATTTAAAAAAAAAAAAAATTAAAAAAAAAAAAATCAAAGCAACAGAAAGAGAGCCAGACTGAAGAAAAGAGGACAAGTTTACCGTATGTTGAGAAGCTTTAATGCATTTAGCAGAACACCTTTTTTTACATCATAGTCTATTTTTTGATCAGTTCCAAAGCTTGGGGCACGATTAATCTGAAAAAACGAGATACAGAAGACTCAGGAATATTCACCTTCACTAGGAACACATCTATTGTAACAGGCTTTGGAGAAACCATTCTTTCAAATATAGCAGAGATTAAGAGAATACATGTTGAAAAGCTCATTTCCATTTGTATTTTTTTAAAAAAAAAAAAGCACTGAGTATCACAGATACTGGGAGCCAGGTGATGTACCTTTCAGCCACCCAGTTATCCAGACACTTACAATGAACACCATTCAAGTACTGGCACTGTATATCCAGTCTAATCTATTCTTGGTTGCTGCAACCAGAAAATTTACCATGCAAAGTGCTATTAAGCATGTTATAACAGACTATGTGCCATGCTATGGTAGTCCAGCACAGGAAGAATTAAATTCTTTCCTAGTTCCCAGTCTGAAAGCAACTTTGAATACTTCTCTAAAAAGTAACAACTATATAAGGACAGAAAGGGGCTCTAATTCAAGGTCTTCTCAAGTATATTTAAATAACTATTCAGATACACTTTACAGCAACACCTAGAGATCCAAGTATTTAAATCAGTACATAGTGTGAAAACATAAAATAATTAACAGTCTCAGTAACAAAAAGCTTATAAGCTAAGTACAAGATAAGAGATTAAAAATGTTACCGTAAATATAGAGGAACAAGGGAAATGCAGCTGGGAATCAGTGAGACTAAATCACACACTTAACAGCCAGGAGTCTCAACCGACCACCATATAACCACTGCCAAGCTTTGGAGCCCTTGCAGAAGAACATTAGCTTTTGGAAAGCTTTGAGGAGGGATAATGAAGTAGCTGCAACAACATTTCTAGGAACACCTTCCAGGCTGGTATAAAAATTTACACATGAGCAATGGGTGCTAATGAGAGGCAGGAATCTCACCTTGATAGTGAATAAGTAGTGCTGGTTACAGAAGGGACAGACACTAAAGAGCTTCAGAAGTGAAAACTAATACCTTGTGCCTCATGCAAATAAGAAGTGGGATACAGAGACAATTAGTATGTTCAAAGCAGAGGGCAAAAGCAGTACATTAAAATTGTGTTTTAACACTTTTGATACATTAGAGCATCGTAGAGCCTCTACAGTTGTGGGACAAAGAACTATTCTGGCTGGTGAGCCACCAACTGTCCTGTTGCCGAGTCCCAGCTGTCCCATCACTTATGCTTATAGCTGTACCTTTTTGGTACCTTTTGGCTTTGAGAATCAGTTTGTTTGCTGTTTTTGCAGACAGGCTGGCAAAGTGAGCAATGAGATCTGATGTTGAAAGATCACGAAAATTCAGCAGAAATAGTGAAAAACTATACATATTCTTTTTTGGAAGATTTTCATCCAAATATTTAATTGACCAACCTCCTTAGACTGACCTGTTTGTCCGCTATCACATCGCAAAGGCTAATTTTTTTTTTCCTATACTGTGATAGCACAAACATTTATTGACATTCTTTTTTTAAAAAATGTGAATGTTCCACTTTCAGCTAAGCAAATATTTAAACATTCAAAGAAACGAACACAAGGATTAAAACCCAGTTCTCCAACATTTCATTAGAAAATACTGGCAGTTGACAAGACCACAGACACACTGCATCTCATTTTCAACATGAAGTTTAAACAAAACACTTTAAGTAGAGCTGCATTGATTAAATACAGCTGATAACTGAAGTAAGTTGGAAATATTCTGATTTTGAAATATCATACTGTCTAATCCAGGAAGGATTTATGTACGTTTAAAAACATATGCATGAAGATCCAATATGGAGCCTTATGCTTCAGTCCAGCAAATAGCTAAGTACACAAAAAGCTCACTGGCCTGAAAACAGAGACATAAAATCAAGCCCCAACTCCTTATTCAGGAGAAATGTTAGGTATTGAACAAAATTATATTCTGTACCATGTATTAAATTTTTTTACTACATATGAACATGTAGCAACTAACAATATTCTACTTTGAAATAATGTTTTTGCATGCATTAAAAACAGGTGAGCAGACAGAAATGTATTTATTAAAACTTCCAACAAATTAATTTCTAATTTTTTATGTACATCGAATCCTTAAATCCAGTGAGACTGCAGTTAGATATGAGGACTTACTTGGAACATGGAAAATGCTATGTTGGTCCAATACTGAATTCCTAGAGATGCAGAGACACATGCTTACACAGCATTGAAGCATCCCACTTGAGAGCATACAAAAGTGCACACTGTTTTATTTACATTCGGTTTAGGTACTCCCTAAATTTACAACAATTTGAAGTATAATATTAGGCATAAATTCTGCATTAATAAAGATGTTATAAATATGTGTAACTTATATGAGCACCAATAAGAATTAACACTATGAGAAGTGTAAAATAATTTCAGTAACAGTTTCTCTCCTACAGGGTGAATTTTGCCAAAAATCTACATCTGGCACTTCTGAACAAACAAAACCATACTGACTGTGTTTATTAAGCAGAAAATTAAAGTGGGGGTAGGAAAGATGTAAGGAATTTGAAGTGCTATTATGAAGCAAAATGCTATTATGAGGCATTATACAATCACTCTATGCTAGGGTTTCTGTCACTTTAATGCAGTCATTTAAGGGGCTGAAAAGCTACGGCATTCATAGTTAAAACTGGAGCACTGCTGTATCATCTGCATCCTCAATTTTTTGGATATACCATTCATGACTAACATTTGAGATCCCAATCCTACAGTGACCTCAATCCTGAAGAGTAACCAGAGGGGTAGTAAAAAGAGTGATCCAGTTCTGGATAGCTATTGCAAACTTGGCTTAGTACAATATGTTTCAGGTAGCAGTAGATGCAAGCCCAGTACAAAGAAAATCTGAGCAACTGGGTACATCAGAAAGTTAATACATAGAAAGCAGGTGTGAATTTAAAGTTCATTAGCTATTCCATACTAACTGTCTATGCCTATACTTCAACTACCACTATGACTATGTGCAAGGATGCTTCACTTACAAACTTTTCTCTTTAACCCTCTTCATCTGTTCCATGCATCTCCCTTCTCACAACGGAAACTTCAAGAGGCAGTCTTGACAGCTGACCTTAAATGTCAGCTAAGAAGTTTACTTATCACTAAGTGTAGATAGAGTTATGGAAGGTATAAAAATGGGGAATATCTTCATCCAGCATTGCTACCCAAAGCTTCATAACTTGAACCCATTGCGTAAGTCTGATGTGCAAAACCACCCATACTCTTGACATAAATCTGCAAGAAATCATAATTAAGTCACAAAACAAAGGGTTTAATCCACAAATAACATTTTTAGAGCAGAAAAACCCTCTTCAATGCCAGAAAAAAAACAAGTAGTAGACAATCTAATCTCCCGAACATACAGATAATATGCTCCCTGCAAAGAGCACAACTAACTAAACCGGCTACCACAACATTTTACAGTCTCATCACATAATGCCTTTTCAAGGCTTACTCACTTGTTCTCAGAGGTAACTAATACCTTTTTCCTTAACAGTGTCTTCGTATTATAGACGAACTGGGACCTCACTCGAAGGAATAAAATACCTACATGCTTGATCTAGCTGAATACTTTCCATGATCAGCACTACGCTTAAACTAGCAGCTATCTAATTGAATCTACTCATGACGGATTTTATAACACTAATTCTGGAGCTATGGCAGTGTCCAGCATTAGGTTTCTTTTATCTTTTTATCTTTAGGATAAACTATCTTCAAAACTTCAAATTTTCTAATCTGTTGTATATAGCAATGCACAAAAAAGAAAAACTGCTTAATAAACAAATACAGTATTCCTCTATATAGACTCCTGGACATAATGTTTCTCACATCTATTATTTTTACAATATCACAGTTTTATCTCCCAAATATCTGCTTTACTGGTGATGATACTTCAGCTTCTTTACTTCCTATGACTTTTCAATAGCTATAGAACTGAATTGTCCACAAAAGTTTTTAATGCCTCCAACTGAAATCCTCAACGTTGGTTTAATAATTAAAATCTCACTGAATATAGCACATACAATTAATCTAACTGCTTGTAAGCACAGCAGTTGCGTAGCTCAGTGTGTTTCATAATTACATACTTGTCAGTAGAGGACCTCATATCTGTAATGCTTAAATTAAGCAGCATAAGTTGACGTACCTCCTGTGAAGGCTCCCATCCACAGTTACATTTGCAAAGGATTCTGATTTTACAAAAATTAAACTCTGTAAATGTGTAAGATACACCATTTTCTTCTTCACCAAGACATGGGATAAATTTCAGCCTGGCATTTCACCTCTTTACCAAGCCAAAGAGCATATTCTCATCACCCACAGCTGCAGCCTATTAGTATGGAGTAGAAAAAGAAGTTTTCCACTATCTGTCATACATACCTATTGAAAAGACCTTTCAAATATAAAGAGAGATTACATGAATGACTTTATAACCTAAAATCAATCGAATAAAATATTACATCCTTTCAATAACAGGGACTTAATCTCTGTTCAATCTGTAGGACAGCATGAATGTTTTGGAAGGGACCTCATTCTTTGCTAAAGTGATTGAAATTGCTAACAATAGAATTCAAAAAGCAAAAGAAATTTATAAGCCATAAAAATCCTATTACGCAGAATGCTGTTAGTGGCTATCATTGAGCAGATCTTTGATTAGAGACAATCATGAAGTTCATTCTAATTCACTCATTTCTAAACTTCACAAATAGTGAGAGTACTAACCCCTGTTTTCTTAGTTTAAGCAGAAGGCTGTTTTTCCGTGACAGTTTAAACTAATACAAATCCAAGCTGTCATACTCTGCCTACTTCATTGTCTTGGCACTGGCGTTCACAGAGAGTGAGGAAGCTGATCCCAATGATCCACATGAAGATTAACCTCACCAAAAATTATTTTTCATTGGTCCTTGATCACCTCAGGAAGGAATCCTACAAGCACCAGTGCCATCACAGGGAAGGGGGCAGGGAGCATGCCTTCAGCAAAGGACAGGAGGAAGGCAGAGATCTTGCAGCTGGTACGT